TTCTTGATGCGCCAGTGGGCACAGGTTTCTCTTACGCTACAAATTTGAGTGCATATTCTACCTCCGACACAAAATCAGCTGCACAGACATATGCCTTGTTAAGGTAGACCAACAGTTGAGTTGACTAGTAAATTATTGAAATTTAGCTTAAAAACTAAGCAAGCTTGAAGTGTTTAAATTTAATTTCTTTTATTTTTTGAGTTGATATTAAATGAGTTTTAATCGATCTAACTCGAGTAATTTGATTTTTTTTATAAATTTATCACCAAGCTTAAAAAATTAACCAGTTTTGAAATACGTTTAAATTTAACTTATTTACATGACTCACCGATTCTAAAGAGTTTTTAAACTTGAGTCTAAGCTCATCCTTAAGTCTAATCCATAAAAGTCAAGCTCATCCTTGTTTTGTTCTAGGGATAATTATTTTTTATTTTTACATCTGGAATTTCTCTTGAATTTCAAAGCAAAGTGAAAAAAAATAATGAGCAAACCTTATAAACCATTCTTTGGATTAACACAACTACGTTATATTTGTTTTTAGGTAAATTATACTTTTCTCTTTTATAATTTGATTCTAATTTTATTTTAATCATTATTTTTTCAATTTGAACAGTATTAACTCTAAACATCAAATTAAATATTAAAAATTTACCCTTTATTTTTTTTAACTGCTTGTGCTTACTGTTTATTTGGAATTGCAATGCAGTGGCTGATTGATCACCCAAAATACCTCAAAAATCAGTTGTTCATTGGGGCTGATTCTTATTCAGGCATAACTGCTCCAATAGTAGTTCAACATATATTAGAGGGTAACTAAATTAATTATTAATGCTAATGACAATTAGTAACTAATTCAACTCTCATTAGCTCATGTTTTGATTAATCATATATTTTTGATATAGGAAATGCTGTTGGGGAGAGGCCACGCTTGAATCTCAAAGTAAGTAACTTAATATTAGAACTCAAGTGACTTTAATAAGCTCGGTTTAGTCGAATAAATTTGTGCATTATAGATTTGTTATGTACATCACTATTCAATGCAATGTTTTAATTTTTGTTTCAATGGGATTTATACTTGACGTCTGCTTCACAATAATTGTCGTATTAATATACTATTCTAATTTGAAATGGTTTTTTAGGGCTATATTCTTGGGTGTCCGCGAACAGATGTAATTATTAATGAAAATTCAAAAATATCATATTCTCACCGGATGGGACTTATATCTAATGAACTTTATGAGGTGATTGTTTGTACTAACAATATTACGCACTCAAAAAAAAGTATTTTGAAAACTGTCTAGAAAATGAAATTTGTGGATTAGATATTTTGGGTGTGACCCACATCACACTAAATTTAAATTTACACTACACATTTCATTTCCGAGATACATTTCCAAATACTTTTTCTGGGTATGTAACTTTTTCATTCCTAATGTTGTATGATTGAAAATTATGGTCTTTCATACAGTAGCATTGCAAGGTTTGATTTGTTTTCTTGTTTTAAAAAAATGTTTTACAGGAGACCAAAATAACTTGTAATGCTAATTATTATGATGTGGATCCAAACCAAGCAGAGTGCTTTGAAATCCTTCAAAAGATTGCAAACGTGAGAGCCATTGGTGATTTCAATTTTAGGACCAAAATTGTTTGAAATTCTAGACCTACTAAGGATGAGAATTTTTATTTTTGATTTGTAGTTGATTCATGATATAAACAAAAATGATATATTAGAACCAAAGTGTACTTGGGCATCCCCAGATCAAAATGGAGGAACCGATAGACGATCACTAGAGCAGCAATCGGGAAATCTCATTCTCTCACCTTCCAAAATTCCAGAAATGTGGTGTCACGTAATTTTCTCTTTCCTCTCTCCCTCTTTGAGGCCATTCGTGGGCTTGAAATGTGCCGAATAATAATATGAATTCATCTACATATGCAGAATTTCAATTATGCGCTCTCCTATATTTGGGCAAATGATGAGAGTGTCCAACAGGCCTTGTATATTACAGAGGTATGTGATCTTCAAAGAATTTAATATCTAGGGTTGTTTACATTAACTTGACTGATTAAATATATACATGATTAAATTTTTGCTTTATTTATTGTAAAATTCATACATGATTACATTTCATTAACTTTATTAATTCAGAGATGGTGGTTAATTTAATTATCAGGGAACAGTTAAAGATTGGAAGAGATGCAACAAGAACTTGGATTACACACTGCATGTGGAAACTGTACTTGATGTTCATAAGAATCTCAGTTCATACGGTCTCCAAGTTCTTGTATACAAGTTGTTATTTTGAACCTTAAATTTACATCTATGCTTAACTAATAATTTTCTTCGTCACATTAATTTACTTCTTAGAGTTGAGCTTATAATAGTAGTGTGACACATTTTATTGAACTTTAATACTTGTTTTTTTGCAGTGGTGATCATGATTTAACTATACCAAATACCGGAACTCAAGATTGGATAAAATTGTTAAATTTAACTATTGTTAGTGACTGGCGGCCATGGCTAGTTGACGGCGAAGTTGGAGGGTGAGTATATAAAAACATTTTTTCAATTTCAATTTAAAATTAAATTAAATTAAAATTTTAATCATGGGTTAGTCTAAGGGAAGTGTGACACACTTTATTGAACTTTAATACTTGTTTTTTTGCAGTGGTGATCATGATTTAACTGTACCAAATACCGGAACTCAAGATTGGATAAAATTGTTAAATTTAACTATTGTTAGTGACTGGCGGCCATGGCTAGTTGACGGCAAAGTTGGAGGGTGAGTATATAAAAACATTTTTTCAATTAAAATTTCAATTTCAAATTAAAATTAAATTAAATTAAATTTTTAATCATGGGTTAGTCTAGGGGAGGTATGTTTAATTACGCTAAAATGATAGGATTTATTGTATTTTTACCAAATTTCAAGAGAAATCAGTTTTATTATTATTATTTTTGTTATTCCACTATCTCCTCTTCTTCTTTTTAAGTCAATTAATAGAAAATAATTTGCAAATATCAAGAGGCAGACATTTATCATTTCACTATGTAAAAAAGTTTTACCTCTTTATATGCTTAAAAAAATTAAACCAACTTTTGACAAAGAGATCAATCAAAGCCATCTGTCTAATGAAATTTCTTGTTTTCAATTTTATTTAGCTACACAATCAAGTATTCAAAAACTGGGTATCGTTTGACGTATGCAACTGTACTGGTAAGTCACAAATTCAATTTTTTCTTTTTTGACTTTATGAAGCACTGAAGGAAAAATTGAAGGAAAGTGTATGTTTGGTTATATTTTCATTTTCTTCATTTTTATTTTTTGTGTTTTGAGAAACAAAATAATAAAAAGTTTGAAACACCCATCATTTTTCATTTCTACATGAAAACAATTTTTTTTAAAAATCAAAAAAAAATTCTTTAATATTTTCTTAAAAATTGAAGAAAGTTCGCTGAACAAATTTATATATGTTTTCCAAAAATAAAGACAAAAAACAGAATACGAAATTACAACCAAGCAGATCCTTAAGATATGTTTGGTTGTGTTTTTTTATTTTTCATGTTTACATAAAAGTTGAAAAATAAAAAGTTGTAAAACAGCCATCATTTTTTTTTTATTTCTGTGCACAAACAATTTTCAAAAATACAAAATTAATTTTTTTATGTTTCATGAAAAGTGTGTTATTTAAAAAATTAAAAATTTTAAAATTAAATTTTGAAAATTATTGTAGGGAGCAGGGCACTCACCTCAGGAGTACAAGCATAGGGAATGTTATGAGATGTACCAAAGGTGGATCCATTACTATCCTCTCTAGTAGTTTCTTTAAGCCAATATTTTATTTGTTACGAGATATTTTTTAAATTATAAATCACAAAACACCTCAATAGTTTATTTGTTCATAACCTATAGATATGGGGCACCACCCAACACTTTCCAATGGGTCAAATACAATAATTCGATAACTATTATTATATTCTCAGAGAGAATACTGACTTGAGTATCAACGTGTCTATTCTAACAAAACACTAATAATGTCTTTTGTTGAATATTCACGAAACACCGTTCATTTCTTCCTTAATTATATATTATCAGCTATGCTTAAAATTATGTTTTCAAATTTATGTCTTAAAAAATTTATATTTATTGGATCATGGAAAATCAAAATACTTGTAATTTGAGAAACATGATATAATGGTGAAATTCGGTCTCTCTCTCGTCTTTGCGTTCGATTCGAACCCTAGGCACATTGAATCAATCATTCGGAGTCTCTCTTGGATCTTCAATCAACTTATACATACACAGAAGAACAGAGAGATAGATAATAGAGAGGCAGAGAGAGAGAGCGAGAGAGAGATTGTAAGCTAATGGCGAAACACTCTGTTTTAGACCAGCTCCTCGATAGTAAGAAATTCAATCTCTCTCTCTCTCTCTCTCTATGTATATGTATATACATGTATATGTATGTATTTACATGAGTTCTAATCACCATTGAATCATTTCAGGCGCTTTGGATGATTTCCAAAATCTCCAATCTTACTTCTTCTGTTCAAACTCAAAGGTATTACTCTCTCTCTCTCTCTCTCCTCATATACACATACATATACATGTACATATACATATACGTATACGTATGCGTATATATAAATATGTTGATAGCTTTGCCCTTTGATTTCAGGAGTGGAGATGGCGAAATGAAGAAACATGAGAGTTGTATTATGCCTAGTAGTGAGGTTCAAGGCTTGGGTGTGGGTTTGCCTGACTTGAGAAGTAAGAAAAAGGGCAAGCAAAAGGTTTCCAAAGAATCTCATGTTTCGGAAGCTCTTGATAAGCTTAGAGAGCAGACTAGGGAGGCTGTCAGGGGACTCGAGTCTGTCACGGGCTCGAAACCCGTTGCAGACAATTTCGGAAAGGATCCAATGATGGAGGATTAGGTTAAGCAGTTTGAGGAGCTTGCTGGGTCTCAGGTATTTGCTTCAATTTCATGAAATTCAATCCTCCCACTCGCAAGGTAGGGTTTCCGATTGTGAATCGCGACATTGTGCTTCGATTGGGTCACCGAAGGCTAGGGTTTCCACCACCACAGCCACCTTCATCATCATCAGCTTCCTCAAATTCTACATTGACGCTGCTGTCTTCTCTTTCTCTCTCTGCTTCGAACCCCCATGGGAGCTCTCCGGTACCTCTCTCCCTCTCTCTCTCTCTTTCTCTCTATGCTTCTCTATGCTTTAAGTAAATCGATATTTGTTGGTGGAATTGAGGTAATGGTAAAGACTGATTGAGGTAAATCGATTGTGTCTTCAGTCAAGTAAATCGATTACAGAGTGGAATTGAGGTAATGCTTTTCTATGCATTTGAATTCAAAAACATGTATTTGTTGTCAGAAAAGTTGTGTATTGAGTTTGTTTCATGTATTTGGATGTAATTGGGGTTCTGCTCCCTGTTAGCATCCTCTCAGCATGTCATACATCTGCACTACCACATAAAAACTAACATCCAATAACGTTATCATTACGTTATATGTTTGAACCAACTTAGGGTTCATGTTTATTAAGTCCAGCTTTGGACTTTACCACTAATATCACCAGCTGGGCAGCTAGTAAGAAAGAAAAATTTAAGGTAAATATATTATTTTGATTTTCAAGAAGCAATGGTAAAACCAAGAAAAAAAATGAGAGAGCTAGGGAACATGTATGAAGACCCAAAACTCTCCAGCAATAGGAAATTCATTTGAAACAAATACAAAAACAAGAGGAAATGGAAAATGTTTTATGTAGAAGAAAGACCTGTCTTCTTGGCTCAAAATGTATGGTCAGGGTGTGTACAAGGAATGGATCTAATGAAGGATCATCTGGTTTCACTGGTCGAAAGGATGAAAATGGTATTCTCACCTATTAAAACAAATAGAAAAGTTGTAAAGATTTACACTAGTAAAATGCAGGTAAGAGAATATTCCTTCTATGGTTGAGTTTGTTTCATAGAACAGATCATTGATGTTACTTGTGTGTTCAGAAGGTAAATTGGGAAAATAAGGGAATATTCCTCTTTTTTTTTTGGTTTCTCTTCTTCACTCCTTGTTATATCAACATCCTCATCTAAATATGAAAATTTTCTTTTCAGTGATGATGTTTTTCCATAAATGTATGGTTAAAGCAAAATTGCTGATGTGTGTATATTGAATCGGTTACTTCTATGGTTCTGGGAGCTCATTCTCTGGTGGGATACCATACCGCTACATCTTTGAATTGATGTGCTGCTAATTATTGTGTAAGAAGTTTCTAAAACATCATCATCTGACCACAAACATAGGTTTTTTTTATTTTATTTTATTATTAAATATATTTTCTTTTAACTTGGCATGGAATTTGATTCTTTTCTAGCAGCAGTATGCAAATACTGAAATAATCACCAGGTTTATAAACTCTAGTCAACAATATTGGTGTTTCATCAGATTCATAAAAGATGGAGTTTGTTGCGACGACCATTGGTTTATTTAATTTTATAATATATCTACATGTTCAAGTGTCAGTTAAATGCATCTACAATTTACCTAGCACTTTAACAGTTGCAAAGCTGATCATATCAATTGGCTAAGAATCTTTTGTTGTCAAAATTTTCAATCTTATTTTATTTTTCTTATTTGACTGCAATTAAAGTCATAGCTAATAATATTAGATTATTTATGGTGAAACTTCTCCTTTCTTTCCCTTCTTTAAAAAAACTTCAGTCCCATTTCACTTTGTTATAATACTCATTAGTCTCCATCTCTCTCTCTCTGTGTTAGATAAGCATCTCTCTCTCTCTCTCTCTCTCTCTGAAGTCAAATCCACTATTCTACACATATAATGAATCAATTCATGTCATCTTTCCAACCTCAATTTCATATTAGAAATTCACAATTTTCTCCAAAAAATTAGGGAGGCAATTTTAATTTGTCCATTAGTAAACGCACGAATTTCCACCATTCCCACAATATCACACATGTGATTATGACCCAATGGTCTAAATAGTGCTCGAAAATATAGATCCGAACATTCTTAAATAGATATTCATATTGTTGGGTTGCATCCCCACTATAGTACACTTACATTTTTTTAAGACGCTTCTCACCACAATAACCAACATCTACTCACGATCTCATTTCTCCTTAAAGGACCATATTTGGAAAAAAATTCTAAACACCCCTTAGAAATCTCCAAAATGATTTACCCAACCTTCAACACTTTTAATCAGAAACAAAACAAAAAATACTGATTTCAAAGACCATAAAACTATTTGTGTGGTTAGGAAGTTGGCCGTACCCAATACCACACCAGTTGTCACAGCTATTACATACAAAATTATTCCGAATCTCTTTACAGTAAAGGTTTTTTAACATAAAATTACCGCTGGGATATGGTGGTCAACTAGGAAAATAGGCTTTATTTTTTATAGCCACTCCTGGGGTAACGTAGCATTCAAACAGCTGTTTAATGGTCGATTATAGTGATCCATCTATAAAACACGTACGAATAGTTTTCAGTTTCGACAAGAGTTAGGATAATACCTCAAACAGCAAAATAGATCTTTTAGTGAAGAGAGATACAATATCATGAGTATCGACGATAAAAGGAGAATAAAAAAAAATACAGTTTGTAATAATTAAAACACTCCACCCTCCCCACACTGGTCCTTCAATTTTGGGCAAAATATAGTTCTGACGCCTTCAACTGAATATTAGCGAAGCTTTATATCGAGCCCGCTCTGTTGTGTGAAAGCTCTGAGCTGTTGAAAAAGAAATGTGAAATGTAGCTCAGATCATCTAATACAGAACAACATTGGTAGTGGTTTGTTGGAAAACACAAACTCGACACACAACATTCGGAGCTGCGAGAATAAAAAATAGGTACGCTCAGTTTCTATGAATATAGCTCCAACAGAAGAGCGCATGAAAGAATCACCGCCATCCCTGTTAGTTGCCACAGCCAAGACACAAGAAGTAAAATTACATCCTCACTGCACCAATCCATACCAAATCGAGCTGGTGATTTCCCCCGTTGCCCCGCGTCACCTTATCATCTCACGAAATATGATCTCTTAACATAAAGTAAACCAGCCTTTTCGAAGCGCCCAGTTGTGGCTGTGGGCATAACAGTTTCATACTGCAAAGTTAGAAAACACGTAGTCGAGCTCCAACCGCTGGTCGAGCGTTAAAGAAACCCGCATCGAAGCAGGTGTAAGAAACAATGCTAGCAGAAAGTTTCTGTCAGAGTCACCAATAGAAAAGCGGTGATGTAATTCTCTCCGCCTCAGATAGAGCGCGAACGTGATTTGGAACAAGGAAAGGAAAGAAACTACAGGAGGAGACCGTGGCGCGATAGATCGAGAAGCTGGCTGGTTTACCCTCCACTATCTCAATAAATAACATTCCTTGTTTAGATTGCCAGGCCCAAGCACATAACCAATTGAGTTAAAGAAATTGCACCAACCCCACTTATCACAAGCCCTATAATATCCTATACGTAAGGCTTGGTAAAATGATAACAAACCCTTTCTTATGGGAGAAATAAACTTTAAATCTCTCTGAATATCGGTGAGGATTGTATGTTTATTGTGCACTCAGATTTAAGCTTTTAACAGAAAGTGGCAATAATAAGAAAGATACAGACAGTGATTAATCAAATTTACTGAACAAAGTTCCCATGTATAAATATGTGCAAGGACCTAAAAATATTAGCAAACCCTAAACAACCATGAATTTACATTTCTAAAAACTCATTAATACGATGCTTCAAATTACAAAAGAGAAAATTGTCCGGGAAAAAGGGAAAATTAAAAGACTTTAATTATAGAAAAGAAAAAAGACTTCTATGAAACAATCTTGACGACTCTCGGAAAAGAACGCAAGGAATAGATTACAACTATTATCAAACTTCACGGGAACCGAGTCCGGAATACAACAGAACCTAGTAAAGGGATTAACCGGTCCCAAAACAAGAACCAATAAAATTGCACATGGACCATCTAGTCAGTGCCTTTATAGGTTCTAGTTTGCAGTGCTAGATCCAATAAATGAGATGCATCAAGCTTATCTGTTGCAAAAGCCCAAAAGACAATTTATGCTTTACAATGTGATGTTCCTCCATTGCTAGATACTAGGATGGCAACCCTATGAATGTCATACCCATCTAAATATTAGATAACCAAAACCCGCTCATCTTTGTGCAAGCGATTATGAACAGCAACAGTATACCAAAATCGAACCTCCAAAATCTTGTTTCACGCTTCAGAACACACTGCAAACCCCAAATCTCCTAACTATCAAGAGCTGCCTTATAAGACTTGTTGAAGAAAGCTATCCCATTAGACAATCATTACCCTCCAGGCCCCAATCATATCTGTCAAAAATTGTATAAAAAGTCTTAAAAGAATAGCAGCTAACTTGATAAGAAGGAGCGAGATAGAAGAGCTGAGATGAGATAACCTACATCTCAATTGACAAGCGCATTAGAGCTTGGAAAAAATGAAACAGAGCTTAAGATCAAGATACTAATAAGTACCAAAAATCGCAAAAAGGCCTTAAACTACCAACATTTTCGAGGATCAAAAACAATACGCCGCTCAACGGTGCTATCAACACGCTTCTTACAGAAGGATCAGCCGAATAAAAAAGAGAGTGATTATTGCTGTGCAGTGAACACATCTACTAGATACAAAACCCTAGAGAGTGCACCGTTAACACGCACGCGAGATGAATCCTAGAGCGTGAGACGCCAGGAGACTCGTCCTTAGTTGTAGAATGGAAATTTTGGCACGTGGCTTTAGTGTAGAAAGTAGAGAGATTGCCGAAGCATAAGAAGAGTTGTCAAGAATATACTGGTAAATTCAAAAAATGACCCAGCTATCCCCATTGGATACTCGCATGACGTTCGGTACCCGCTCTAAAGGCGCGCCGGAGCATGACCACAGATAATCTGGTCTGTTAGGACAC